ATACAGATGAAACGTTTGAAGCTTTGTCGAATATCTTCAGTTGATTCGGCTTTCATAATTTGTAATTAAGGCTTACACTGATAAACTCACTGATGATGAATGAGTCGTCATAGAAATCTGTTCAAACTTTTTAATCAATTTAACACAGATTAAAATCAATCTCAATATTGGTAATATAAATGTAAAAAACGAGAAATGAGACGATTTTGGTAGTAGTTTGTAATACATGAGAAGAATACTAGCTGTGGTTAAGGCTAGATACCTGACTGGTGGTGATAATGATGATAAGACTTCAATTTCTTATGAGTAAAATTCTGCTGATGGTATACGGCATGTTGCCCATCTACTGAAATGCATAGACTAAGACTTGAGCTGATTTACTCCATTATTTTTGCTTCCCCCAGGAGATTTACTTAGGATTGTATTCATATGTTTTAATACTGATCCCCTTGTTGACGCTTTGAACCTGTAACTTATCCTGTACCGATTATTAAGTCTATATTCATGGTAAACATGATTACTCTTTTTAAGATTTTCCCAAATGAGTAATATTTGCTTCAACAGAGCACCTGCAATCTTTTTAATTTTGGCTCCACAACTGGCCACACGCCTTCAATTTCTCCTCACACAAACTCCTCCATGTTGCCTTCGGACGCCAAGTCGTTGCTTCCCATTCGGGTTCCACTTAAGGGCAAGGAGTTTGATATCACTCAATAGTTTTCTCAGCTTGTGTTCAATCCACCTGCATTCCGTTCCGCATATTCGTTGAGCAATATGTTTTTGGCTGGTTTGCTGCACTGCCAGAATTCCTTGTTGTTGAAAACCTGGGAGTACTGCCAGACAGTTGTTTCATCCTGGTTTGGGACACATATACTCACCCACTTGGGTTCGAACCCAGAACCTTACGGTTACAAGGCCATTCAGCCACTGGGACGCGATTCAATGGCCCACGAATTCTAGCTTCTATCAATTCGTGATTTTAGTGTGACCACCAACCAATGTCATTGGCGGGAACTCTATCCTAACTCCCGAGTAGATGGACCTACAAACTAATTCGTGAAAATAACTTATTTTTATCAGCTGTCCTATACTTGAAAAATTGGTTTCTTTTATTAAACAACTTAATATCATCCAACTTTTTAGACTTAACCCCATGGATTAGTATTCCTTTAGCTTTATCTGAAAATAAAATGAATTCACAGTTCCCTATTCCTGTTCCCATCCATTCCTTTTTTTATCGCTTTACGTTCTCAGTGGAACATAGGGCTTCAAGCTAGAGCTCTGACATTTAGGTAGCAGTGGTGTTTATTTTTACGGGATGGGGTTGCTAGCCTCATGCCCAACCTTCCCTCTTTACCAGTCTTATTACTGGCTTAGCGGGTTAAAGGAGTGCATCCGTCGGCCGGGAATCGAACCCCGGACCACATGCGTAGTCGGCGAGCATTCTACCGCTGTGCCACCAACGCATATCCATTCCTTTTAACATGCATTAACAGTATACAATACAAAAAGAAATAAAAATTGAAAATAAATGTTTCTTCCCTCCCCCTATACTTCTAAGTTTTCATCTTTGGCAATTTAAATTAACAGAAGAAGACAAATGACTAGACAATCAGGTGTTACTTTCGAAATAAAAAAGGTTCCAATCAATCACACTTGTTTACAAAACCACATGTTTTAATATAGTTCGCGTTTGAGAAGCCGTACACATAGTAAAAGAACAATGTGAGTAGTCAGAGATTATGTCAAAAAGCAGCAATAAACAGATAAAATTTAAATAAATTTTAAAGGGAATTTCGGTACAAAAAATTATTTTTTCCTTTCTTTTCATCCCTACAACGTTCCAAGAGGAAAATGGAACTTCAAGCTTTGACGTTTCAGTAGCGGTGATGTTGTTTTTAATGAAATGGGATTGCTAACCTCACATCCCAACCTTCCTTTTTTTCTCAGGCTTACGATTGGCTAGGCGAGGTTTAGGATTACGCCAGCCAGGAACCGAACGCGGATCATGTGCTTGGTTGGTGTGGATTCTACAAATGTACGAGCGAAGCAGATCGAAAAATGTAACCCATAGAAATCATTTAACTAGATTGAGAAACAGAATAGTGAAATACATATAGGACAATGACACTCCCTAGTGTAGAAGTAAAAAGAATGCTTGACTACATCTTAAGGGTCAGTGAATTGTTGATGTAGGATTTTCCGTCTGTTTGCAATAATCAGGTCGGACATTACACTAGGAATTGACACCTTCCCAAGTTCTTACAATCACCTTTGATTTGAAAAAATATCCGTTTTGAAAATCGATGGTTTAGCATTTGTAAGGGGTGCACAGCAGATACCGATATTGATTCCCATCTTTCAATACATATTGATGGACTATATGTGAAGGAATCAGCTATTCAGCATCCACACATCAAAAATAATCAGATTTCATAATTGCAAAACAAAAAGAGGATTTGTAAGGAGACAATACATTTTCATCATTTTGTGCTAAAGGCAGAACAGCAATCTAAACGAACCTCGAATAGATTGTCTTTGTTACTATTGTTTTCCGTGCATGTACACTGCTCCCACTTCATAAATAACTGCTAAAAATACTACTAATTATCACGTCAGCAAAAAAATAAGACAAAAGCACACGTTATCACCACCTTTGTAAACCTAAACTTTATACTAGACAATCTTTAAGTGAATAGCATTCTTTGAGAATGTGAGAGTGAATAATTGGCGTGAAATTTATGCTGCGACGCAGCTAGCTAGGATTATTTGCACAATTGAGATTGGAAAAATGGTCGACAAATGCCTTTAACAGCAGCCTTGTCTAATGGTGGCAGCAACATAATTCTGTCTAATCCTTATACATTTAAAACAAAAGAGACAGGTATTTCTATGCCTACACTTGATCTTCAGTACCTATATACACCGTTTATTGGTTGCTAACATAATCATTAGGTCCCTTTTTTCTGTTGAACATATTGACAGAACAATAACAGCGCTTGAAGAATGCAGTTAAAAGAGCTTATTATGCAGCAGAAGTACGTTGCCTCTTTAAAACCACCCCTATTCTATGTTCGAGAAACAAGGACAAACTACCTAATTTTGCCACTTCTATGTGTGTCTACCAGTTTGACTGCAGCTGTAGAGCCAGCTACATTGGGCGTACATTTAGGCAGTTTCATCGTCGTATTTCTGAACATCATCCAGCGTGGTTAAGCAAGGGACAAACAAAATCTATTCGTAGTTCTATTTTAGCACACCTTGTTGATACTGAGTACAAGGTTGATGTGAATACTGCATTCAAAATTATTTACCGCATTCCGACTAATCTTAACTTTGCTCTAAGAGTTCGTCTTCTACAGACAGCAGAAGCAATTGGAATCCACCAGAAGAAACCAAGCCTATGTGTACATAAGAAATTTGCACAGCCACTTTGCTTACCGTGGCCGTCGTTACAAGACAGGATTACGTCGCCCCCCTCCCCCTATTAAATTATAATTTTCCAAATTATTTTATTTTTATTTTGACCACTTCATCTTTAATTACGTGTTATTCTTGTAAAATTAATTTATTCTATCTATCCATTTCTACTTTTTAAATGTGTATTGATTTTCTGCGTTAATTATCTACCCATTGACATTTTGACACTGTTTAAATATTGTTAACAAATATATCACCACTTGTTTGGTAAATTGTTGTGTATTGTAAAAATGCTATATATATTAGAGTAGAGCCAGAGAAGAGGATCTAATTGAAAAGTAAATATTTCTTCGCTCAATCTTTTGTGTTTTCCAAATGTCTAAATGGGGATATTTTCTCTATAGAGATAATTCTATCATCATGCAAAACACCAATGATTAACTTGTAAAGTGAGCGATGATGTTCAGGCGACTAGTGCAGTGTAAAAGCACAGTCAATATATTCCCAACGTGTTCACCAAAAATTAGTTTTTCATCCTCCACAAAGTACTATACTAGTCAGCATCTTGGATAAAAACCGCTAGCATCCAGATAATTCGTCCAGAAACACGAAAATGACACACACACACACTTTCATGTTAATTGATAATATGCACTCAAAGGTAAGTATCAAATGGCTTCAAGTACTAACAAACATTTGCAACTATTTTGTATCTATGTTAGAATACACACTACTGATTGGTCGGGATGAGTAAGAGTATACCATGCACATCAACCAGTACTGTTTCCTAGCCAGATAGCGGGTGGCTGTTTCTCTAGTTTGGGATCGACGTCATCGGTAGTGTACCCGGCCTGACTCAACTCAGAGAGCCGAATCAGTTAAAATCACCCGTTTTCTGTCTAGCAACTTAGGTGAAGTAGTGATACTACAAAATCGCTTCTATCTAGCTAGAAAGCACTACTGCATGATGTTGGTGGGATACGACTACTCATCTCAACCAATCACCAATAGTATATAGTTTTATGCATTCATGCATGGTTTCCAGAACACCATTTCTGGCATAAAAAAGAGATCACATATTATGATCTAAAAAAGAAAAACTCTTGCTTTCTTAAGGAAACTATGGTGAATGAAAGAATCACCTAGAATTTCAAGCTAACTTGCAAACTTGACATCTTTCTTTCACCCAATATCATCCAACAATAAGCCGAAAACATAATACGCTTTTACACCTAGATTGATTACGAAACTATTCATAATCCACTGCAATGATGTGGAGAAGCTGAGTTGCCATACCAAAAAATTCCTACAAAATTATGCCAAGAAACCACTGTGTTTGTTTAGAAGTATTTTTTTTTGAGAAAGTGCAATTTCTCACAAAAATTGAACTTGTGATCTGGTTTTTGTTTCACAAGTCATAGAAACCAAAAACGTAAATCTGATAGATGTATATCGACTTAGAGAAAAAGATATAGTGTAGCTTAAATGTTCACTGTTCGGGACGACGCTCAACACTACACTCACAACGAAATACTGCATAAATCTCATTACTCCCCAATAATAATAACAACAACAACGGATAACTTGAAATGAAAAGTAATTTCAATGTATATTAAAGCAAAAAAAACAAACAGTACAATATTAGATATTAGTTAAATATGTATGTATATACAGTTTATTGGAATTATACAGATTTTGTTTACAAGTTCACTAGGAAAAAAGAATTTTTATCACAGAGGCTTATTTGATCGATCTTGAACTGACTGCTGTTGCTGTTGCTGCTGCCGTTGGGCAGCTAAAATAGCAGCCAAAGCTGCTTGTTGTTGTTGTTGAAACTGGCTATGAGCAATCTGTTGCTGACGTTGTTGGAGTTGTTGCTGTTGTTGTTGCAGCTGCTGCTGCTGAGATGATGCAATTACCGCTTGAAGTAACGCAGCATTCCCTGAGGCAGCTACTGCAGCAGTTGCAGCTGCATTATTCATCGAAGCTATCTGCTGCTGTTGTTGTTGTTGCTGCTGCTGCTTTTGCTGGATAAGTGATGCCTGCAACGAAAGCAAACGTTGTTGCAATTGTTGTGGCAATAAAGCTGACTGTACAGCATTAGCAAGCTACCAAAGACATGAGAGAGAAAGAGAAAAGAAACAAATATGATAAAATACATTGATAGCTATATGCATAATTGACTGAACAAGAAAAACTAATCAGTTTTTCGTCCAAAAAAGCAACACTCATTAGAAAAAATAAACATCGGTTTAAATATACACTATAAACCATCAAAGAAGTATTGCATATCTCACTATTCCTTTTGCCTCATATTTCCGTTTATTATTCTCTGTTGAATCTCCCTTTACTCTCTTCTCTTACTTTGTGTGCTACATGGGGTGTGGCAACTCGAACTGCTGCACAACTGTGGAAAGTTCTTTGTTGAAACCAGTCAGTCAGCATATCTCAATGTATATTTCGTCACGAACCAACATTAGTAAGAGAGATCATTGAAAACCAGGGAGTACCGGAGAGCTGCTTCATCCAAGTTCGAGGCTCTTTATGAGTGCACATCCACGACTCCATCAGGGATCGAACCTGAGACCTTAAGGTTACAAGACAAAGCTCGTTAACCATTCAGCTACTTGGGCTAGAATCTAAAGGCCACTGAATTCAGAATAAATCAGAAATAACTGCTTAGCCGATTAACTGTGACCGAAATCGAATGTTAACATCCGCAATAACTGGATAAAAGCAACATTACAACTTCAAAACGGTATCGATTACTACGTAAACCACAATCAAATCAGTGTGAAAATCTACTACATTTAGGACAACGAACAAGATCGGAAATTTCATTTATATGGTTTAGAAGCGTTCGCAGTTTCAGACTTTCATCAACAGTAACCTTCACTCCATATAATGCAAAATGAAATAGAGATAGATTGGAAATACGCACAGGAAGAACCGTTGGTTGACACCACGCGTCGGGCCTTCGAGTGGAGCCCGAATCGGAAGCAACCAGAGTTGGGCGTCCCGAGTGCGATATGCAGAAGAGAGTGTGTGGAGGAAATGAAAGTAAAAAGACAATTGTGGAGCCAGCTAAAATAAGTCTGTAGTGAACGTAGTCAAATAGAGATGTGCTTCTGAAGCAATGTGTTTCACTCAGAAACCGAGGGAGCAACAATAACAATAATATTATTATTATTGTCATCATAAAAATATTGTAAATATTAAAATGCATGACATTAGAAGACACAAAATATCAAAAATCACCTCTTGATTTGCAGAAGAAACTGGAAATTGTGGAGCAGAGGAAACAATTGTTGCTTGTTGATAATGCTGCTGATTTTGTTGCTGTTGCAATTGTTGTTGCTGCTGTTGTTGTATTTGTTGCTGCTGCTGTTGTAACTGCTGTTGCTGGTTGTTGTTGATGCTGTTGTTGTTGTAGTTGTTGCTGCTGTTGTTGTTGTAATTGTTGCTGTAGTTGTTGTTGTTGTTGCGCTGCAGCAATTAAAGCAGCTACAGCGGCCACTTGATTTTGATTGGGTGTGTTTAGTCCACTATTGGTGGAAAGAGCTTGTGCATTGAGACTGGAACGTAAAAGACCTAATTGTATTGCTGCGGGTAATGAATTTCCAGCGTTCAAAACAGAAGCTAGACTAGTTGGGGTAACGACAGCAGGATTGGTAACATTGGTGCCTGGATTAACAGCAGATAACCGTTTATCTTGGGCATTTTTCAGCTGATCATTAGCGGCACTCGCTGCAGCTAATGCAAGAGCACGTTTCTGCCATTGAGCTATTAATTGTTTCTGTTGTTGTTGTGCAGCTAACAAAGAAGCTGTCACTAGATTTGGTGCAATATTTAATCCAGATATCTGAAATGTTGAATGTGAGATGAATAAAGCATTAGCAAACAGAAGTGTACAAGGTGAAAATTGTCTTACTTTATTAAACATATATATATATATACAACGCGATATTATATTAACAGATAATTTTCAAGTTAGTAATGAACTGAACATAGAGGTAAAGAAAAACTTCAATTTCAATTACTTGTTATCATTTAATATCTACGTATACTGTACTGAAAAAGTGATTGATTCACTTAAAAATTTGATCACAAACATAATTAGCGGAAAGCAGCTAAAAGAATAAAAATACAAGCACAGAAACAATTTAACTATACTGAAGAAACATATTTTCTCAGTCAACTATCCTAATCAATAATTCGCTTGTAAAGCATACAATTAGAGCAAAACATTACGCGGTATGTGCGTCGGTGGCACAGCGGTTAGTTAGGACGCTCGCCGACCTTGCACATGGTCCGGGGTTCGAATCCCGACCAGCGTACTCCTTTACCTCACTAAGCCAGAAATAAAGCTGGTAAAGAGGTAAGGTTGGGCATGAGGCTAGCAACCCCATCCTGTAAAATAAACACTGCAACAGAAACTTCAAGCCTCTAGCTTAAAGCCCTATGTTCCACTGGGAACGTGAAGAAATAAAAAATACAAAAAATTATGCGGTATATCCCTGGGAGTAAAATTTCAATAAAACTTATAAAAGTAATAAATTTCAAGGTTAGGAAAAGTTTACCTGTGATTGTTGAGCAATTAGCTGATTCAGTAACTGCTGTTGAGCAACTGTGGCCTGAGAAGGAAGAACACTGTTGTTATTATTACCCTGAGTGGCTGACTGTAGTGCAGCTGCTGCAAACAGTTGTTGCAATTGTGCTTGTTGAATAGACGCTGATATTGAATTAACATCTTGTCTAATAGAAGTAGGAAATGATATTGACGTAGCGGGTTGTTCTACTGTTAAACTGGAGGTGATATGTGGATTACCACCTACTGATCCAACGAATAATTGTGTAGGATCATTGGAATTTGCCTACATAGAAGAACAACAAAAGTTCAGTTCAAAAATGTGTAAACAAAACCACAGAATACAATAAACACTCATTATTGGACATAAATCCGTTTTCATTTCAGTTTGAAACCATGCATCAGAATACATCATCCACTCAGGTATATCAAAACTGTCTTAAAACCCACCATATTTAAAATTAGAAACTAAATAGTATTTCTGACTGAAAGGAAAGAATTTTAACACTGATAGTTCGCGAAGTCCGTCAACAACTGTTCCTGAATACTCTAAATTAGATGAACGGATAATTCCATCATAAGTTGTATAGATATTCTGAAACTGTTTCTCATAATACAGAAAATAATCAAAGTCACACCAAGTACATTAAGAGATTATATATGAATTTGTGTACATCACTGTGATGACTGTGACAAATACAATTATCTGAATGCCCAAAGCTTGATAAATGAAGTGGTTTGAAGTATGAAAATGTGCAATAGCCTTATACAAAGTATACTACCTACTTATTTATATCTCAGTTACTCGGTACTAGGCTATAACCCACACTTATTGTGTGGTGGTTAACAATGCTACCCAGTTGCCCAAGTTGAAGTAGGCGGGGCGGGACTCAAACCCGTGATCCATTGACTGATTCTCGAGTGCTTAAGTCAATGTGCCAGTTGTCATGATTACGTGAAAGTCAATGACACCAGTCAGAAACGCTCACTGATCAAATAAATGTAATTATTACACCAGAGACGTATTCACAGGTTTGGAGTAAAGTTCACCAACAGCATTCTAAGATAAATTTGATTAAAAATCAAAAGTTTAAATCAGCAGAACTTCAGTTCTCTACACAGGAGAACTGTTGGTTGGTTATTTGCATAGTACAGTGTTCAATAAAAAGACATTCAGACTACTTCGCTTGAAAGCTTAAAGTGTTCGAACCACAATAAATGCTCCGTACCGGAACCATAAAGACGTTGAATACTACATGATATATTCTACTAACACAGATCAACACAGTCAGCGACACACACACATGTGATGCTAACACAAGGAAGCAAAACTGAAAACAAAGTTACCATGTGATATTCTTATATCCGTCTGTGAGAATAATTTCAAAAAATACAATAGGAAAACTAACCTGTTGCTGATAAGCAGCTCCACACAGAGCAGAAAGCTGTTGTTGTTGTTGCTGTCTTAGAAGTATAGCATCAGCAGATACCTGTTGAGGCATCGAGGGGTCAGTGATACTAACGTTACCAGCAGCTACTACATTACTACTCGGTATGCTGGATAACAATGGAGTACTAGTAGCATAAAAAGGTAACAGTGAAGGAGTTGAATAGATAACGCCAGCCGGAGAAAAAACCACAGAGGGTTGATTCTGCTGCTGCTGTTGTTGTTGTTGAAGAAGAGCTAGTTGTCGTTGGGCTTGTTGTGTTGTTGTTGCATCAATTGAAATTTTGACTCATCCGACATAAGCATGCCGCTACGCCGTAAAGCATGTTCTTTCGCTTGCTCTTGTAGTGCTAAAATGATAGAAGATACCGGTAACAAACAGTAGAAGAAGAGCAAATGATGTTAATGGAGGCAATTTTAAAAAAAGGAAACAAGCCTCAGAAGTGCAGTAATCGGAGAAGATAGAGAATTTACTATGATAAATTTCCCCATTCAACAAAATTATACTAAGATATCAAAAACAAAAGCTAATCAATAGCGCTAAAAAACGAATAAACCTGAATTCGTAACGACTGGTGACATTGATTAGCAAATTATAATAACCTGCACAATCTATTACTATCGTCAAATCCAGTACTCGATAGTTTTGGCAACTTCCCTATTTCAGTGATATTACAAAATTGTTCCCCTTATTCTAAAATCACTACTCATAATTAAGCATGGAATTTTCAGCATTTGTCATAATATTGGATCTGATCAAATCAAAATATAAGCAGAGTTAAACAAAGAAACTTGTCCAAATTTACACTAAGAATAATATCAAAAATATGCAAAGTAAAAAATCTGAAAAATAAGTATAATTATGATGGCAATAATAACAATGGATTTGTTTCAAACAATACTGTAGATACCCAATGGAAATTTCAGCATCTCATACACTATTATCTTCCGATAACATGGCGAAGGGAAAAACAAAACATAAAAACCGTTACAGATGAAGGAGGAACAACATGTTTTGCAGAATAATATGGTAACACCATTTACTTCGTTGGCTTCTCATGACCTCCTTATAGCCTAAATAAGTTATCATTAAGTTCATGTACAGAAAAGCTTTAACATACTTGTAAATTTTACATGATGTCAATTGACAGGAATTTCCGAACTTAGTAAACAGAGCTCAAAAAATGACGCTTATACAGTTTTTACACGAGGAGTTTAAGTTTAAACAAAGTAAATGTATGCATACATTGGTAAGGGAGTTACGTAATAAAGATGAGAGATAAGCAAGATCTTGAGTAACTAATAGATTGGGTGACAATGTACTGACGCATATTCAAATATTGAATTTACTATGGAATATGAAAATGATGGAAAGTTCCATTTCCTTGACATTGCCATGCAACGCCTAGAAGATGGTAGTCTCCAGAGGTCAATTTACCGAAAGCTGACATGGAATAGACAATACCTACATTTTAATAGTCTTTGTCCAAATAGCTTTAAACCTGCACTAGTCAAGACTCTGTACTATAGAGCTAGGAGAATATACTCTGCAGAGAAATTAGAGGCAGAATTTATGACTCTCGAAAAGATGTTGAAAAACAACGGTTACCCTCAGAGATTCATCAACAAATATGGAAGATGTGAGGGCTCAAATATCAAACAAATCACAGTGGAGAAAAGCCTGTCTTCCTTCAACTCGATTTTAAAGGTGAAAATATTGCAGCAATGGTCAACAGAAGACTGATTACTTCGCTAACCAGAGAGCCTATCCTGCAGCTAAGTTGGTTCTCGTCTATTGGACAACATGCTCTTTGGTGCAGTCAAAAGTAGACAAATACCCTTCTCATGTTAACTCCCACTGTGTATGCAAATTTGCGTGTGACTGCGGGAGCAGTTACATTGGGAGAACAGAAGGAAGGGCACGCTTCCGATTTTCTGAACACGTACCGAAAAGCCTGTCTCAAGGGGACAAACGCCTACAATAGTACTATTATCAGGTATCTCCTTGATACGGGTCATGAGGTGGAAATCGCGAAATCCCTTAAAATTATCAGCTGGTAACTGGATGTCTTCATTCTGCCCTTCACTTGATTACGTAATCTTTGGCTTTAACCTCACCCCCCCCTTTGATAAAGTGTAATTTTGCTTGTCTCTTGTTTCTATGATTTGAGTTGAACTCAGTACATTGTCACCCAATTTATTAGTTACTCATCATCTTGCGTATCTCTCGTCTTTATTACGTAACTCCTTTACCATTGTATGCATACATTTACTTTGTTTAAACTTAAACTCCCCGTGTAAAAACTATATAAGCGTAAAGTGTAAGGTCAGATGAAACATTTTTTTGAAATCCGTAGGGTGGGAGAAGACTAGGATAGATCAGAAGAAAGAACTAGTCCAACATACTTAACTTCAAACTTGATTTCTATATCGGTATCATCAATTTTGCGAAGAGCATGGGAATTAAGTTTCATGTATCTTTCTTTTACATAGTAAGCTGATATTAACAGTCTGACATTTGGAAGGAAGACTGTTAGACAATATTTGTCATCGTGGAAAATACCCATTAGGACATTAGAAAGAAGAGAACACGAAGTTCAGCAAAGATATCTTTTCTGCGGTTTCATTTTCAAAAACTGTACAATCGCATTTAAATACATAAATTTACACGGATACAATTATTATTTAATTGCACATAATTACGAAGGCAAATAAAAGGTGACAATTATTTTCCAACTTGATTTGGATTATGAGAGGCTTAGAAACAAAAATTAAACAGGATTAGAATATAATTGTAAAATAGTTATTTTAAACGAGCAGGAAGAGCGAGGAAACAAACTTAAAATAACTGTTCTTATAACTGAAAAAATGGGATGAATTGAATGAAGACAAAGGGAGGAAAATACACAGAGAATAAAACAAAAAAACAAAAAACCGAAGGCTAAGGGAACATACCAAACTAGGTCCATGATAGTTGTAAAGGTTGGACTAGTTTCTTTTCAACACACAGCTCCAGCTTTCCGATGCATATTGCGAGGGCTTCTGCAGTACAAAGAAGTGGGAAACACACTGCCTTTGGTAGGTTTCTGTTTACTTTGTAAATGACTTTGAATGAATCAGCTGAGATACTGTGGGAGGTGTTGATCAGATGTTCATTTATGGCAATTCTGATTGAACCGGTGCCTCCTCTTTGCAGCTATGCTAGGTAATGTTCTCTAACACGTTTCGAAAAGACACAAATACAACGACATATGTACCTAGCTCCACACCAGCAGATAAACTGGTGTATGCACATTGAATTGCTCACAAGCGGGAGTTTGTACTTTGCATTGTTTAGAAGTACTGGGCGGCTAGAGAATGGCACTCTTAGTGTTGCTGCAGAAAAGATCTTCTTTACAGAGTTGGAGATTCTTCTCTTAAGGATAGCAGCTGACAAATATCCCCTGAAGTTCAGATTCATATACAGTTTTCTACGGCACTGAACTGCATTCTTCTCTTCGTGGTTTTGGTCACCAAAACGTTTCGGTTAACCATTTTGAGCCAGGATATTTTTGAGGAATAGGAGTTCTTCTTCCAAACAATCACTGCTGCAGATTCTCCTCATACGGTGGTTTAGTGCGATGATGAGAGCTCGTTTTCGGCTTAAAGGTATCCAACTATCAGTTCTGTCCTATTTTTCGCATTGTTGGGCTTGGAAAATTTGTTGTCATCTAATATAGAAGTTGTCAATTTATTAATGTATACATCTTTATCCATAAGGACCACTCCTGCACTTTTGTCGGGATGTGTTATCATTAAATCTTTACTGTCTTGTAGTTCTTAGAGTTGTCGTTCATGTTCTTTTGTGAGGAGACGTTGGGCTGTGGTTTTCAAGCTGAGATATTGGTTAGAGCAGTCTAAGATTGTTGACTTAAAATGTAGAAATTCTTTGTCGGAAACTGGAGTAATGTCATTCGTTTGACTTATAGGACTCTCAAATTGAATAAATGTGTGAAGTCTGTTGCTGTTAAGATTTACGCTCTGTCTCTTGGACTGAAATTCCGAGACTTCCAGAACAACTAGAGCACAGCTGAATTTAGTCTTAGAGATTAACTACAGAAAATAAATCACCTACGGCTTAGTGACCCAAATGAAGGTTTTCACAAATACAAGACTTCATCATTCTATTCACCTATGCATTTAAGGAGAACTCGCTTACAGCTCTACAGGTACATGTAGAAGAGCAGATACATACAGAGGTGAACATATAACTGTGAAGTTTGAAAATGAATTAGTTGGAAGAGAGCAATCTCCCACTGATGAACAAATAGGTATATTTCCCCCTTTCAAGGTCGAGTATTTAAGGCGAAGACAGCCAAGTCTTCTTAATGGTTAACAATAGTGTAGCTTTCGTTTTCACTTGAGGGTAGGAAGAATTTACATCAAGAAGCAGAGAGGAAATATTCTATGAAACAAAGAATTTCAAAGATGTTCGAGATGGATGCATGGTGATGAAAATTACTAGACATATCTCCCTATAATTCAAACAATGGTAAGTAAAAAATTTAAACATACGTCTATACAACTCCGCTTGTTCAGGTGGGATTGTGAATTCTGGAGGATTAGAGCTGGTAACTTCAGTATCTGTGTTCTTAGTAGCTGATGAAGATACAGTATCACAGGAAGAGCTAGAAGTATTTTGAAGTTGTGAACTTTCGGAAGTAACGACGGTAGTATTACGACTACTTGGAACAGTTGCTATAGAGTCAGTAGTCTCTGATTTGACGCTTGTATCAGCAACAGATAAACCAAAGCGCTTAGCTAGATCTGGAGGAACCTGTTTCACAGAAGAAAAATAACACACGCCATCATCATTAAACGCAAAAATAAAATTTACTAACAATGATTTACAACACACTACAAGTTTACAGCTGTTAAGTTCCAACGAATTAAGAAAAAATTAATGATGGCTTGTAAATTAATGCAAGTCTTAACTAAATAAACATGGATCATGCACACAGGTAAGCCACAATACGCAGAAAAAGTTGAACGCAACGTTTTACTAGAAAGCCGGCTATATATATATATATAGGTTTTCCAATGGTTCTCTAACTAATGTCAGCTCATGATGAAAATCCTGTAACCAATCAAATCCCTACAAACCAACACTTGAATATTCCATCTCTGGCGAAAACGTAATGTCCGGCTGTCGACCAAAGGGTGTGTTTACTGCTCAGCAGTTCTCTCCATCCTCCTTTACTTTATGACTGTGAGACACGGGCGGTTGAAAGTGGAAGACATGAAAAGGCCAGCTAGCTGTCTTTGATCATAGGTGTCTGCGTTCTATCTTACACACTAGGTGGTATAATTGAGTGAGAAATATTGATGTAAGACGTCGAGTGCCTAAGTAAGGAGGAGAAATCAATTGACGAGGTTGTGAAGTAACACAGACTGAGATGGCTAGGACATGTGTTACGTATGTCTAGACATTGCCTTCCCAAACGGGCAATGTTACCTACAGTGACATAAGATCAGGTTGGAAAATAGCTAGTGGTGGTCAAACCAAAACATGGCTTCATCAGTCAATGGAATCCACAACAGTTAGTGTAAACCAGTCACATAGGAAGGTGTAAACTTCCTGGCTGGGGTCCTCGGAACGATAAGAGCCAATGAAGGCTGGAGAGAATTGGTGATATGGCTCGAAATCGTTCTCAATAACTGGCGCAGATGCATTCACTTTTTGTGATCTGTCATATCCAGTAAAATTCTATTGTTCTTCCATATAACTATTCCTTTTGCTTCAGATTTCCGTTTATCTCTCTGTTGAATCTCCCTTTACTCTCGTCTCTTGCTTTGTGTGCTACATGGGGTGTGGCAACTTGAACTCCTTCACATCTGTACAAAGTTCTACGTTGAAACCAGTCAGTCAATCTTTTTATGGATAGGATGGTTCGCAAATCACAGGACTCATATTTAAGACACACGAGGATAATTATTGTTATACATATCCGAGTATCTCAGCTGAGCCACAAAAACGAGCTGGACAAACTCTTTTGTTCATGCTTATCAGGTTGACGATCGAGGCTCGCATTATACTCAAGTAATAGGAGGTACATAAACCTAAAGAACTCCGGTAGTACACATCATCCTGCCAATTTAACTGCCCCTTACAGAGCAACTAAATGTAAAGGCGTATAAAAGTTCATCTATGTAGGCGCTCAACTTACGGTCACTAATTCACAAGAGCTTGAGCCCAGTTGAATCTACCGAGGTAGTACCAACAACCTTCAATAGAAGAGGTGTGACTCACCTCCAACTGCACGGAAATGCAAGTAGTTATGCAACAGCATTTACATTTCATAACATGGTCGATAATTCATTTCTCACCCAAAGTACACTTGGGTATACATGTGATGTCACAACACAAAAATGTACAAAATGCAGCCAGCTAACCTGTGGTCCAATGTAGGTAGCAGGTTTATTTGAATTATTACTGCTATTATTATTATTATTATTCGAATTGTCAGAAGACTGATGTAGTGCATCTTGAGGTAATGGTATATCAACCAGTACCGGTGGACTGGATGTTTTATCATTTGACTCTGTTGCATCTGATGAAGACAATGGTTGTGAACGTGAATCACTATTGCATTCATCAGCCGATTTAGAATTATTAGCAGAATTTGATTCAGTGGTACAATTGTTATTTTTTGATATGGTTGATTCGTTTGATGCCTTCTGATTCTCTGAAAAATAATCAAGTGATGCACAAATAAACCGATTAAGTGTTACAGTGATATACAGAAATCTATGTTCCATTGGCTTTTTGAAAGAATCAGAATAATAATCAGAATAACAATCAATAGAAAAATAAAAGAATTACTTACTTGATTGTCCGCCACCTACAACCCTTTTGACAGCTGCTGAGACTGTTTCGTTAACACTAGGCATATAAGACATAGGCTTTGAATCACCATAAGGACTATTTGTTTTATCATCCAAATTACTGTCTTTATTAACTGGTCCAACTCCTAGGCGAGCGAGACGGCGTTCCGGTGTACTTCGAACGTAATCATCTGAAACCTTTTTAAAAGATGAAGTAGGCCGATATAAAGGAGTACGAGAGCGACGAGAAGAAGAACGTTTCTTGGAGACATTTCGACGTGAAAAATATCTAGAACGTGACGAGCGAGAGGACTGTGAAGAAAAACTGGAATCTGTTGAGTGCCAGCTTCTTGAACGAGACCGTGATCGAACGGAATAGCTCCTATGTCTATGTCTCCTCCGGTAAAACGACCTGACGTGTCTACGACACCTAGGAGTTCTTGCAGAGCTTGACCTAGATCTTGAACTGTAGCTTGAACGGTACGAACGTGAAGTACGAGCAGATGACCTGGAACTGTAAGTTTTTGACTTCAGATAACTACGCTTACGTCGGTCATACTTATGAGAGGACTCCGTCCGCGAGGAGTAGTGTGACCTACTCATTGACGAATGATACGATGAGGATCCACGAGAAAGTGAACGTTTATGATCTGGAGATATACCATCGGCTGTGCTTTTGGCACGATGTGTTCCTCGAGAGCCATCAGAAGCTCTAGACGAGGCGGATTTCCTTCGTCGGTTGCTGGGTCGTTGACGATTTGAATTTCTCTCGCGTCCTCTTTTGTTTGAATCACTGCTGGATAACTTGGACCGAGCTTCTTTAGAATTGACTGAATCATCTTTGCTACAAGTGTCTTGATATCTGTCATTTTTCCTTTTCGTAGTTGGATTGCTTTTCGATTCTTTCGACGAACTTAACTTATTTGTAGTGGCTGAAATGAGAAACAAAGAAACAAACATGAGGTAAACAGATTTTCACTCGCCTTTTACCTTGCGAATGTTTACTAAATTATGTGACCACATAGTCATTGGATATTAATTTTCTCTGGAGATAAGTTAACATTAAACTATTTTTACCAAGAAATCAAATTGAAACTTGTACAATTAGTATCACTACAAAAACCTGAGTTTCGAAATTCAGAAGTGGGGAGAGGTTATTAAGTGGGGGGGGGGAATCACTCGTTCCAATGCCCATAATACGGAAATAAGTGCACAAAATCACATAAAATCAATATGATTTAGATCGAAAAACAGTGCTTCTAACGTTAACGGCAAGTATTGTTTCACTGAATACATTAAGCCTGAAATTATATTCTACTACAATGCTCAAGTCCTATTTTTATACCAGTAGAAATGAGTCGTGTTTTCAAAAAAAAACATGTAGACGAGAAATGAAAGGGCCTAGGTATTCTCTGAAAGCAACCTATACAATCAGGTTAAATACCAAAACACGTATACGAGTAGCAGTTCCCTTCAGTTTACTTTACACCTGTGAAATATAATCGTTAAAAGTGGAAGAATGAAAAAATTAGTCTTCTGTAATAAGTTATTTGCATTCGATTTCCCAAGGTAATTGATGGAATAATGAACCCAAGCGTAGTGTTGTACACGATGCGAAAATTAATCAGTGGGTCTGTAAAGCTTCGCAGACTGAGGTGGCTACGGAATGTTGGGCACTTCGAATCACCAATATAATCAACCTGCAATGTTAGCTGTCTGTCTGGATTCAACATAGAACTTGGCACTGAAGTGCAGCAGTTCGAGTTGCACGGAAATTGGTGGCGTGGCTTTAGGAAACTATCGATGGTGGTTTTTTGGCTTCCGTCGTTTTCAGTGCACACAGAGTGAAGAGGAAGTGAAGAGCCATCAAGTAGAGGAGTTGCATTAGTAGAAGGAAGGCAAGATAATAGAGATGAAGATGAAGACAAATATGAGTGAGGATTAGAGAGGTTTCGCGTGCACTTCGGATTGTGAGGGCGATTGTTACTTCCCGGCTGCCCACACCGTGGAAGTTGGTTGCGTGACCGCAGAGCCCAGAGGACAACTGCTTGAGGCCGGTCACACGCGGCCTGTTTTTGTTTGTTCTTTTTCATTTGGTGTGTCTCAGTAGCATATTTATCACTTCTGCCCTGTGACACGGCAGCAGGAAGCGCGGTCGTTGTTAATCCCGGCCCCCGACCGATCCGGCATGATATTTTGTGATTTACTTTGAGTCATAGCATTGGGTTGGGTAACTGCTTTTTGTCTAACCGCTATCCAAACAACCTTTCTGGCATGGTAGGACCTCAAGCGACATAAGTCTCAGCCAGTATAGCTGGTTGGGTCACTGCGGTGTTCAAGCCCGACCACCACGTCAAGATAGCAGCTTTCGGTTTGAAGTAGAATAAGGCTGGAACAGAGCTATGGGCAATGAGAACTTATAACGACAATTTATGAAGTTACTGGCTGTTCGTCTAGGACAGGCAGGAAGGTGTATATTGCTTGACTAAGATCCTCAAGGTGTTAGGAATCAATGGTTAAGCTCTTTGCGATATGACCGAATTACAATGTCATTTGCCAAATTCTAAAAATATTCACTAATCGTAATTAAATTTATTCTCTGTTCATTATACTTTCTAATTGTAATTTCACTAAAATTCATTCCTTTAGTATTGTGTACTTTCTCGATACAGATGAGAACCGATGTTCTTGTGCAAAGTTCAGCTTTATAAGGTCAGTTAGCTAGAGGACTACCTTTAAGATTGCATTAAAGATAACCAGTACATCAGTGAAAAATCTGTTATCGACTAGTCTGGTTCAACATACATCTCCAACTAGACATTGATCAATACGCTAACAAAGAAGCCAATAATTTCACACTTGTACACAAAAGCGAACGAAACACTTACAGTGAGATGTCTTATGTGAAGAATCCGATAGATTTGATGTATGATGATTACATGGTGGGGGAGTATTCTCACTTTCGCTACCCTTTTCTGTACGAACAACTGTAGAATCGAAGTCACTATCACTAGAATCCCATGTAGATCTTGCAGTGCTTTTTATAACTTTGACACTATTAAGTATCCCAGATGTTTGACCTTTTGATGATGAATTTAGATTAATAGCATCACTTTCTGGCAAGGCACAGTTTTTGGACAGAACAGCGTCGTCATCTTTTCGTCTCATTTTTCTTTTAGGATATGAATGATTTTTATTGTCATGAGGCAGTTCATCATCCGTGCTGTTATACGATACGAGAGTATTTGAACCAACCCGACTTCGGTTATGGCTTGAGTGAGTTGTATTTTCTGTTGAATGAGAGCTATTCAAATCTGTTCTGTGCTCTGCAGATGTAGAGTGCTTACTCGCCTGACTGCTTTTCTTAATGGACCGTTTCTCGTGCAGTGAACGACCTGTCAAAAACAAACCATAAATAGACCACTGTAGTGGGTCACTGGATTATATATATATATATATATATATATATATCGTTTCCTTTAGTTCCTAGAGGAACATAGGACTTCAGACACACGTCTCCATTGCGTTCGGTTCTCTGCCAACGTTTTCACCTGGCTCCACATCTGCCCACATGCTTTCATCTCCTCTTCACATGGCCTCCCCCATGTCACCCTTCGAACGACCGACTCGCCGCTTCCCGTTCGGGTACCACTTGAGGGCCTATCTAGTGATGTCATTTGATGGGTTTCTAAAAGTATGGCTAATCCACCTCCATTTCTTCCTGCAGATTTGTTGCACAATCGGTTCCTGCTGGGTTGATTCGCTCATTGCCAGAGACCCCTGTTGCTGATTTTCTCTGGCCAGCCATCTTGAGTAGTATTGAGCGAAGACAGCTGTTGATTAAGATCTGTAGTTTGTTCGAAGTGCTCTTCATGACGCGCCAAGTCTCTGATCCATAAAGTAGCAATGACTTCAAATTGGAGTTGAAAATCCGGATCTTATTTTTCACACTGAGTGCTGTTGACCTGACCTCCACACAGACTTGAGAGTAATGAAACCTTGCCTTGCTTTCTCGATCCTTGCTTTGATATCCTCGTCAGTTCCGCCAGTAGTTGGAACGATGCTTCCCAGATAAGTAAAGGAGGTCGCCTCTTTCAGATTTATCCCCATCCAGGCATTAATGAAAACAAAACACGTAAATCAGCGAAGAGTCTCTTTTCGCCAAATTCATTTTCTAAGCTGTACAATGGCATATGTATATATATATATATATATATATATATTTGTTATATTGTACGTATGTGTACATTAAGTTTGTCAAACAAAAATACAATTGGTTATAGCTATTTTAACTAAACAGGTGAAGATTTTTTTTCAATTTCAATAATACCTAATTTTCTTGACTGATTTTGTATTATGTAACTCCAATTACCAATCTTCACCTGTTTAATTAAAATAACTATAACCAATTGTATTTTTGTTTGACAAACCTAATTTACACATACATACAATATAACAAATATATATATATATATATATGCGAATGTACAGCTAAGAAAATGAATTTGGCGAAAAGAGACTCTTCGCTGATCTACGTGTTTTGTTTTCATTATCCCATTTATGCTGATTGTTGTCTATTGTAGTTACTGTTGCTGTTGGCCAGGAATCTTCATTACCTCTGTTTCCTCTATATTCACCTGAAGTCCTTCCTATCTTTGATGCTTCTACCAACTTGTTGCTTTTCACTTGCATATCTTCCGGTTCGTGCGAAATCAGACATATATCATCGGCGAAGTCCAGATCCTTCAAGTTTTTTGTGTGAGTCCATTTTATGCCTCTTTCCTCATTGCTCGCCGCTGTCGCATTATCCAGTCTACCGCCCACAATCAGGAAAATCATTGGAGATAGTGGTGGGCAACCTTTTCTTAATCCGATCTTCCCTTCGAAGGATTCCGTGAGTTTCCCGTTGTGGATTACTTGGCGTACAGCGTTGTCATACAACTGTTGGATGAGCTGTATGATTGTTGGCGGCAACCCATAGTAGTGAAGTAGTTTCCAAATCACCTCTCGACCGACGCTGTCGAAAGGCCTTTTCAAAGTCAATGAAGTTGAGTGAGGTAGAGAGCTGACTGCCATTCCTAGCTCTGTTCAATGATGATCAGCAGTGTTGCAATTTGATCGACGCATGACTTGTTTCTCCTGAATCAAGCCTGTTCCGGTAGAAGTTATTCATCCAGGGCGTGTTTCATTCTCTCCAAGATGATGCGGCTCAGTATTTTGCTTGGGATAGACAGGATAATAATGCCACGCCAGTCCTTGCATTGACTTAAGTCTCCTTTCTTTGGTAGTTTGAATAAGTAGCCTTTTTTCCAATCCGCAGGTACTTTGCCCTCTTTCTACACCCTCGCCAGTAGCATTGTCACCAAGTCCGCTGATCTCTCCGCGTCCATTTTCAATGCTTTTGCGGGGATTCCGTCTGGTCCCGCTGTTTTTCCAGCTTTTAGCATCTTGATTGCCTTCAGGACTTCTGTTCTCGTCGGAGGGTTAGTATCCACTGGTAGTGCTGCTTCCGCTGTTGGTATTATTGGGCGCGTTTTAGGTGGCGGTCGATTTAAAAGTCTTTTGAAGTGTTCAGCCCAGTGTTTCCTTTGCTCCACCTCTTTGGTGATTGACTTTCCATTGTCATCCTTCACTGGCTTAATTTGTGTCGAACTTTTCCCTGATAGGTACCTGGTTGTTTGGTAGAGTGTTGTGAGGTCTCCATTTCCTGCAGCTTGTTATGCTTCACTTGCCATAGCTTCATAATATTTTCTTTTGTCTTCATTGGCACTCTTCTTTACTCTTTTGTTCAGTGTATTGTAGCTTGCATTCAAATCCTCTTTTTGTTGCTTGTCGATGCACTGGATAATCTTTTGTTTCACCATCTTTCTATCTTCTATTAGTCTCCATGTGTCTGTAGTGAGCCACTGTTTGTCCTGCCTCGTCTTTCTGTCTAGAACTTCCATCCAGGTTTGACTCCACACCGCATTCAGGTTGTTTAATTGCTTTTCAGAGCTGGTCTCGTATCTAGTGTTGTCTCGGCTTTGTCCTTTATGCTTGCAGTGAAGATGTCCTTTGTGTCCTGGTCCTTCAGTTTTTGAGTGTTGAACTTGGCTTGTGGTCTATCTGCAGCTCCTGTTTCTCTGGAAGCTTTTAATTTGATTTGGATTGTCCCTTGTACGAGATAGTGGTCTGAGCCAACGTCTGCTCCTCTTCTTACTTTTGTGTCCAGTAGGCTGCGCCTCCACTTCCTTGAGATTGAGATAAAGTCAACTTGGTTTTTGGTTCGCCTTGTGGATATCCTTGTGTTTGTATACGCTGCCACCAATCACTAGTTCATTGAAGGCGCAGAAGTCGGCGAAGAGTTCTCCATTTTCATTCATTTCTCCGAGAGCTTCTCTACCCATGATGAGTTCTCTTCCTGTGTTGTCTGATCCCAGTTTGGCGTTCACGTCTCCCATTAGTATTTTAATGTCGCCGACTGGAATATTGTCCATTGTTGCCTGTAGTTGTCTGTAGAATTCTTCTTTCTTCGTGAGGTCTGCGTTGTTTGTGGGTGCATAGCATTGTATAACTGACACTTTTCTTCCTTTGGAGTTGAACCTGGCGGTGATTAACCTGGGTCTTAGTTGCTGTTGGTGACACCATGATAGCCACACCCTCGGTGTGTATATATATACGAAGATATGGAATTGATTACATAAAAACACATTTACTAAGTGTAAGGGAAATAAATTTGCTTACTAGAATGTGGTGACTCAGATTTGATATCATGCGTTTCGGATAAGATCTTGTTGTGATCATCTGAATTACTGCGTTCAAAATGAGCAGGATGAGGGAGTTTATTTGACAATCCAGACCGTTTAACAGGAAATGACAGAGATCCACGTCTTAACTGTGGATCATGGTCAAAATCACTGTCTCTGTGGAATAACAAAGGGATTTTATTTAGGTGAAACTGACACTAAATTAAACGCTACAAACATTGCGAAATTCCAAAATTAGTTTTAACACAAACAAACTGCAACCAGTTAAATACACGACAAGAAATCAGGGAGTACTAGACAGATGTCGTAAGAGTCCAAGTTCGGCACCATCAAGTTGCGAAGTGAAGATGCTGCCATTCAGTGACCTGTGATCTCCAGATTCTGATAATGTTTTGTAGGATACGTTCAATTGAAAATTAGGACTTGAAAACGATCGAACGGTTCTTTCATATGATACAAACTGTGATAAACTAAAATCACCGCAAACCGAATGATTCGATTCAAAAATTGAAATTACAAAACAATGTTTATAATATTCAGGTGCGGAAAGTGTCTAACTACCTGCTTTGGTTGTTTTCAACAGGTCTTACTGTTAATATTTGAATATACCGCATACAACAACCAAATCAAATCAGTTCTACATACAGTATATGTGAAAATGTTTTTTAAACTTATATAACATATCATCTGATTTCACAAAAACGTACAGTACTATATTTGATCTGTTCTTCGCATTCACTACGTTTTATTTCGCTTCTCATAACTTTTATTACACTAATTTAATGTATAATAATCTGATATTCATTATAATAAAGGCTTTTGTATTTCCCAATGAATGAAAAACAAAACGATATTGTTTTTACTGGCGTTTCGCTATTTAATGCTGCTAATAGCTTTATCAAGGTAATAATCTGAGTCTATAATATTAAAGGTGATAATTCTGAGAAATTGGCATCGCTTAATGTAATCAAATATTATATGATAGGCGGGGGGGTGTTTGATATGCAACTGAAAGGTCAAAAGTTCATCTTATAAAGTACTGCAAACGTACAAAAAAGTGCATCAAAAGAGAATAACACGAATGAGCACACACACACACCTGCTATCAGACTTCACATGTTTGCCATTCTTTTCACTTCCAGATGTCTAGTGTAGCGATAAAAAGAAAAAGAAATACTGAAGCACAAAAAACAAACAATTAGTCTGATGCTCAAATTAAATAAATACACAAAACAATACTTTTTGAAGGGAACTCACAGTCAACATTTTTCAAAACGAGAAAACAGTATGCAAAACACAGCTGTCCTACAAAAAGGCGTGTGGTTTATAAGGCTGCAGTTAGTTAATCAATCATTGCTGTTATTATTACCATTATTATTTACGCAGCACCCGACATGGTATGATGAGATTCTCGTTAAGATAATAATAATAATAATAAACAGTTGTCTGGTATCTAAATACTGTTGTGTTAATCGGAACAAATATATCTGGGGCGTCATAACCCAGGTGATGAGAAACAAAACAAACAAGCAAAATCTAAATAACAGAATAAATGACTACAATAAGTAACCGACAGCATAGCATACTACAGAAAAACAATTAGGTATTTTAAAATACAACAAAACAACTATGTAATCAACGATGACGACAAGAACGATAACATTCACAATTGAACACAAAAACTATAACTAAAAGAATGTACATCTTTACAAAAACACATTTACGCACGCACGCACGCACGCACTCACACACAAACACACGCAAACAGACACAAGTGCATTCTCAACAAAATGAATCTTCATTATTCCAAAATACAGCAACAATGATAATTATTGTCATAAAACTAAAGAGCATGCAATCAAAATACCCTAACAACAAATCATGTGTGAATGTATTAAAATTATTACTATTTTAAATAAGTTGAGATAAAGTAAGCTTGATTGGAAGATATGAAGAAAGGAAAGGAGAGCCATTCACGCAAAACAGCCTTAGGGACCGTTACAAAAAGAACAAGTAGACTGAAGTAAGGGATAAAAGTTTGCAAGAAAGTAAGCCAGTTAATAAAACCCTGTGCCTTCAACATAACATTGAACTAATTGTTCAAGGGTATATCGAATAAAGAAGAGTTGGCAAGATTTCACAAAGTATTTAAAGGAGATAACTAACAGAAGAATATAACCGTAAATAGTAAGAAATCCGAACACAGTACGCAAAACTATCAGTGTAATAATAATAATAATAATAATGATAATAGGAATATCTGTAAAACATACCTAATTTATCATTCCTACACCCATATGTATAGCTATATATAGATACGCATGTAGGTAGGTATACACATTTTAAATAAACTGTACATATGCGTAGATGTGTGTTGTAGTAAAACATTCAAACAAGCACAAGGATGATGATTACACATAAATAAGCACACGAACACAGTTTTACGAAAAATAAACAGAAAATGTAAACCAAAAAAACAAAACACACAAAGTATGAGGGTGGGAAGTAGCAGATTGAGCAAAAGTGTGTAGCCAAAAAAGTATGTATATACATTATAAACACACACAAAGAGGGGGAAAAGGAAAGATGCAAATTAATTTAATGTTAATCAATCAAATAACTTATCACATATTTATTCAATGAAATTTAAGAAATATGAAAACTGAAACACAAATCATAAATAAAGATGCTATTATTTAAAAATGAGATGAGATCACCCTAAAATAATGACTACTACTACTACTACTACTAACTTTATACTGGAAGACATATTCACTTAGAAAGCGTAAGGCACACTACTAACAAGGCAGTTTTCTGTGTATGCCACAGACGACTCATCCGGTCACTTCCTTTCAAATAAAGTTTGTCATTACCTTATTCGTTAGATAAGACATAATTTGAACTAAATTTCCGCTGTAATATTCAAGCCTTTGAAGTAAAGACTAAGTAATCCTCAGGTTACAAGCTTGAAGTTGTACGTATGGTGTTTCTGTAGTCAAAATCCATGCTAGCATTATTGATCGTAATAGTTATTCTATGTTCAATTTACTTTTGTAGAATTTTCATCTCTGAAGCTTCTTCGGGAAACGCACTTCTTCTACAGCTAACTTTGACTATAGAAGAATCTCGATGGTCATCTGCTAACTGGATTAGACCGCTGTTCAAGAGATGAGATTATGAAGCAATGATATTGAAATAATTTGTCTTATTCAAAACTTTATGAAGTTAATCTAGCTCAAGTTAGTCGGAATTCTGTTTTTTAATGTTCAAGCAGCTATACCATCATTTTTATATTGACTGACTTCCCACTGGATCATTTATTACGATCATCTCCTTTATGTACTTTACCTATATATACACTAGTACGATATCAACGTGTACAAAGGGTCTTCGCTTTATTTTGAAAGTCACAGGATTTTTTATCACGAAGTTTACGCTGGCTTAATAAACTGTTCCGTTGAATGTCTATTAATCTGGGTATTATGTCTTCAAATATCTTTTTACTTCATGCTCCACTTGAATTCATGCTCCAGAGGTACAAAGACATGATCAGTAGACAAATGATATACCTAAGTAGCATGTCTATGTAGTGAATGGCCTACATACATAAAAGTCACTGAAGACAGCATCCAAGATAATATCGAAGTGCCTGTCAGCATAAGGTTGCATTTAAGATACAGTAATGATGACACATTTACAGTGGAAGCCGCCTCCAGCACTTAGAAATACATAATAAGCTATCCGTAAAAGGCTTTCTAATCATATACATTCTAGATGTATCTTTAAGCACGTCGCACGTAGCAAACGGACCCGGTGCTTGGTCAGTGTTTTACCAATATAATGTATTAGCCAAGGTATTTTCACACATTTTTCCTAGATTGAACAACAAGGGAAAGAACTCCCTGCTGCCGAATAGCCTCTTTATGTGCTATATAATTTAAATTTAACAGATATGATTCTGCTACTACTACTACTACTACACCTAAAATTTCGAGGACGCAAGCTTACTGTACTTAATCACCATAACATGTGTGTTACTGTTTCTTATTTTGCAAATTAATGAACAAGTAAACAGTCTTACATAGGTATTTGTATCTTCCACCTTGAATCCCGTAGCTTCTGACTATCGGTGTGAAAACAAAAAGTGAAAAGCAAGTTATTACTGCCAAGATAAAGCATACTAAAATATAAGAATATTAGATAAAAGTTGAATAATTGCACTTGTTTATTTAGTGGTAAAACGAATATAAACGTCAACTCTAAGTATGAGACGTATAAATTTCAAGGAATGATTACTTATCCCCAACTATGCCACTATTCCACTAAAGTAAGAATGACTGCAACAAATAACATTTTCGTGATTACCAGCACCAAAGTGCCAACACCTATGATGTCTACATATTTCCAACTGTTGGATAAGTTTCTTCTCTCAACACAGCGCAAACTTTTTTGAAAAGCCCATCAATTTCTCGTATCTTCTGACGTCACTAACCAATGTATCCAAATACAATAGGAAATTAAATTATCTTTCCTCGTTATGTTGAATCGTCGTTTGGTTTTGATGTTGGATCCCAACTTTCCATAACCATGCACAGACTAAACGTATTCCCTGACACATACTTTGTCACACACCCCGAGAAAAAATACAAAGTTTGTTCACCACTGGTGGAAAAAATAATAAGCAGCTTTCTGACTGCCATCCGAAACGATGTGGTCATAATTTCCCGAAGGGAAAAAGCCTTCTCAATATTGTAAATAGGTCCCTTTCAACAACAACAGCAAACAAACACTTAAAATTCAGGACCTTTTGCTATCTAACTTGAAAAACCTAACATAAAAATTTCATCAGTAATCTGACTTATTTTCAACTACAAAGTACTATAAACAGTCGAGCGGGGAAAAAGATGTCGTGAACACTTATTGAGAATAGGAATTTGTGTTTTCCGATGAATGAAAAATAATTTTTTGTTCCTCTGTACACCAAGAACCATATATCACTGATAACCCTGAATACCCAATGCTACAATAGTTTTCAGACCATCGAGAGTGAAGATGGTTTGAATACCTATGAAATAGGGCAATTGGTCCAAGATAAAAAAGATAAGAATGCAGAATAATATTCAGGAAACTTTCCGTAATTTTAAACCATTTAGAAACATATATGACGGGAAATTATTACTCCAATAAGATATGAGTTTTTTCATAAATGATTCGCGAAATAAGGATAGTTGGAAATAAAATCACGGAGACTAGAAAGTCGAAGGTAAAACCCTTTATTGTTTCAATCAGAGGATATAACACTAAATATGCCTTGACGTAAATGAAGACTTTCCACAATTATCTACACTGTCCACAGGCGTCTATTACCCTCACTTTTGCTTAGCGAATAACGTTAAGTGAAAATAAAAACCAAGGATATACTGTGTCTAAACCGAAATAAGGAACACTCGAGATTAAAACAGTACAAAAATATTGATTGAACGTACCTGTGAGACTGACGAAGAGTTTTTCTCTGAAACCGAAAACACATTTGGAAATCAAATACTTTCTATATTTTCATTTAGTATAACATAACACACTACGCAGCCTAACATTAAATTATGCGTAATGGTAAAACAAGTTAATACAATCTCCCAGTTATCAAATTATTGACAGGAAACATTCGAGTTGCTTTTATTCAAAATAAAAACGCCACTACATTGCGCAACAATTTGTCCCAGGTTATAACTATGCATTGCTTGTTCAATTCTTCGAGGAAAAGAAAATCGATTTCAAACACGGTCTAAGCTTAAAAAGTCGCAAATTCCAATTATTAGTTGAACATAGCTTAAAACGAATAAACTATGATGGACTGAAACTCAGTCATTTACTTTCAGCGACTCAAGGTACTCTTAAAATAGATACATGCCCGACGGTTTACCTACTGCTTGAAAACTTTTCACAGTTTACGTTCAAGGTAATGAACTGCTTTGAAAAATGGTATATTTCCTCTCAGCTGTACTACAATCGTTTGGATTTCACAGTTTCTCTCTCCTAGAGAGTGTTAATAACAAAATACCTGATATAGGACACATGAAAACTGTTATAAATGTGCATATCAGTTAATTAACATTTCTATATTCATCTTGTCATCTAACTGTAACGTCGTAGTAACAGTGGTCTGAAGTCAAAGCTTTGTTTTAGGGACTAGAATATTTCATTTTACACGTTTATTTACAAGAATTTAACGTTATTTTACCATCACCAATAAGTCCGAAGGAATACTTTTCGAATCAAATTAAACTAGAAATAAACCTGTGACATACTGGAGCTTAAAACACAGTTTGTACTCAGCAGGCAATTAATTTCCCAGTCCCAGAAAAGATGTAATAAAGAATAATAAGTCGAAGTCGTTGGTGTTTCTCAAGCTATCACTCACTAAATTAAAAATCAACCTTCAGTAACATCTGTTGGATCTCCTAATGATAAAACTGAAGAACAGTAGAATCAAATGATGTTTACTACATATCTGTGAAGCAGAGCAGCAAATTCGCATTTAGTTTTTCCTTTTGTGTTCAGCAACGTCAACTAAGCGACTAGTAAGCACTAACGCCACTTAGATTTACTTACCTGGTTGTAATAGAAACCGATTACATGGAGACCAAAGGTAACAATTTTCTAGCTAGACTTGGGTGAACGAATTAGGTTGTGGAACTGCTACCTACTCTACTAGTTGAAAGCTGTGTTTAAAGTGATGGAACACTACTCTGAGATTCGAAATTTTTTAAGTTTTTGTCTGTTTGAAATCAATCGCCGAAAAACATGCTGAATTATTTAACGTAAAGGATTTTAAATAGCCCATAATTATAGCAAAAACCAAATAAAGCATACGACGAGACAGAAATTCGACACTTATGATAGTAGCTTTCCACTTTCTCATGAAGTAGACAAATCATTATAAAGATACAAAGAATTACTTTGAAACACCATCCCAACTATAACACTAATAAGCATTTATACTCATTGAAATAATAGGATTATATGATCAGTAATTTTTACCAATCAAAGAGATTTGAAAGAATGTAAAGAAAATCATTCACTGGTGAAACTGAACTCGGAATAAACAGTATGACACTGAAAGATTTTTATTCAATTCTGTAAGTGCATCCCGTCAAAACACACATTGTGTAACAAATATCACTAAATAAGAGTGGAGAAATATGAACTGGGCTGAATTATAGACGTGATATGTACAATTATATAGCCTCAAATAATAAAAAATTACAGCAGAGAACGAAATGGTCAAGGGACGCCTAAGGTTTAGTCGTTCTGCGGGAAAACTAAGGAAGAATAAATACTTAAATGTCCTCCAGGACTGTACTTTTAGCTGATAGAAGTTTAATAATAAATACTAACCCAAACGCCACATGAAGAAAATGTACAACTAACTTGTATTCATATAAATACGAATGGTAGTTAATTGCTAATTGGAATACTTCATAAAAATTGATGAGCATACAGAATACATGGCAGAATGAGGGGAGGCAAATTTACAGATACACGGAAGTATACACTAAATTAAAAATGTGTTAAAGCCAATTTCACTCAACGAAAGATAAAATTTAAAAGTGAATAGTAATGACTGAATAACATAGGATCCTGATGGTAACAGAGATAACAAACTAGTGTAAGCAGTTAGATGAAAACAAACAATTATAAAACAATTTTTAAAATATTGAAATAATTCATGAACCTGAACAGCTAGTAAAAAAGCAATTTTATGGTGCAAACAAGAAAGTGCACAAAAACATCATTTAGATAAGATAACACACACCATCACTTGCAGTGTTAGACAAGTGTAAATGATGATTTAGGCAGCATGCATACGCAAATATGCACATACTGAGCGGTAGAGAATAGGTTTTACTTTGATATACATATATTACCTAGTTATGAAACTAGCAGCCAATAATAACTTTGTCACCAATATATAGCACTGAAGAAGAACTGAAGTATCATAAGCGAATTTATTGTTACTTGCATCCTCCTAACCTGTCTTTATCACATATTTTTTGTGAATATCAAAGCCAAACCGGTTTTCTACCGTTCTGTATATATGTATATAGATTTATAGATAGGTGTATAAATATCCTGAACACTTCTTTGATATTGCATGAAAGCTGTATCTGCAGACAAAAATGTTATTCTTTGAATCAGTGAAAAATTTGAGTGTGGCATACATACTTTAGGAGGGAGAAACTCTAACGGAAGCTGACAAAGAACGCTATATTAAAACGCAACAAAAAAACTATGTATACTCCACTTTAGAAATACATGACCCCAAAATTCTCTGAAGGTAAACACATAACACTAGCAAACAACATCAAACATTTTATATACGTATAACACCGAAATCAGAACAATAATGACTTCCAATCAACATGCGATTGAACATTATAGTATAAATATTTACCCGCTGAAAATTATCTGAGGCCAAGAAACAGAAAGCAAAAGTTTGAAAAGATTGAGTAACTAAATTTAGAATTTGAGTGTATGATACATGCATACAGTGAATGTAGATTACTTAGTAGTGATGATTAGATTTACAAATACCACCAAGAGTTTCAACCTCATTATTTATAACTACACTAGCGTCTAATGAGAACGTGTGAATTTTTGCACACCTGAGTAGATCTATGTTGATAGAAGTTGTATATCAATGAGTAAAATCTTGCGTTATTCTGCATCCAGTTGTTCGTGTGTTACAAAAATGATGCAAAGTGCTAATACTGTTATTCACGTACTGGTCATACGTTACCAGCGGTTTACATCAACCACCTAGTTGTTGCGCCATCTTAGTGGAAATTCTTTCTTCATTATTTACTTAGCTAAGAAATCAAAAGCTACACACTAAAGAATTGATACATACTAGTTTGCAATAACGATCTCAACCACTGAGTAGAATACTCAGACCTTTCATACAACATGTATTCATAAACAAATGATTAACCTAACCTAATAAGAACTAAAGTGAAAACAGTTCTCATTTGTAACAGTATACACAAAGACCAGTCAGCACAATAGCTTTGATAGTAGAAAACGACCTAAACGATAATACCTATCCAGTTCACGGAATATCGACCTAATTAAAAGATGAATATAGGGAAAGGAAAATAACAACTGGGATTTCCTGGATTTCGTTAATATGACTTGCTGTATTTACCATATCATATGCCTGAAATAATCACCACAGCTGGCTAAAATGTATCGCTCAGTTTGTTTCAGCACTTATGTTACAGAAACAATGGCATGGGAGACAAACTTTTAATGAAAGCCTCCAGGAAAAACCCACAAAAATTGCTAAGCATACAACAAAAACGAACATTTTTGAACTGAAAAGTCACTACCACTGCAATAATGAAATCTAAACCACAGGTGCGCCAGAATATTTACTAAAACAATAAAATAGGATATTAGCTGATTTTAGAACCTGTAAAATATCCAGAAATAACTTTAAAAATCACAATGGTGAAAATGACTTTCCGGAAATAAGAATTTTAAGATTACTGCATTTAACTAGTTAAAACACTACATATATACATGGATTCCTTATAACAGTCAGTCTAAATACTTCAAAGCTCAAACGGACACAGTACGTCTTATATTTACTAGACTCAAAGACGATGTTAAGCACACATGTTTACTGTTCACATTTCTAAGTTCTGGAAATTGAAATCTAACTTTTCCGGTACTTGTGCCAAGCACTTTGAGTCGATGAGACTAGACGAAATAGGGGGCATTCGGTAAGACCGTTGTTTAACACCAAGAGACTTGCCACCACCTGTGTGAATTATGAAGCAAGTGACTCCCATTTTGTTAAGTGAGATGCTCACGTTCTGGTACATTCAACTACCACTAAAGCATTCCAGTAAATGAGAACGGGTATAATGTGTAGTGCTAGTAATATATTGGTGAATCTAGAAGAAATATTTTCACCCGAAACAAAACCTCATCAACCAGTATTTACCACAGTATGCAATTTAGTTAAAATGATCACTTAAGACAAGGAAAAATTAGAGTGTTGATCATCCCAACTCCTGGATTAGACGAAGTGTCTACCGTGCTCACTCCTGTGATACTCTTTGATGGAAGATAGTAGATAATACTCTGTATTCACCATTTACTTATCCAATGGATGCCGATAAACTAATTCATGTCTCAGCTGTGGATACTTTAGAAAGGAGTCGGTAGAGCAGTGTCCGTTATTAATCACTGAGACGACAGGAATGCCAATTGCAATTGAGCCCATGAATATAAACGCTACCAAATTCCTTTCATGAAATAACCAATCAATTTTACTAATTAGGAAGACGTCCATTAACATATGAGTCAATCCCAATCACAGCAATCAAGCCTTTTACTGGCAACACAGAGATCAGTGGAATAAGAGCTTCAAAAGACGCAGTAATAGTGCAAAGTTAAGAAAAAGTATGAAACTACGCACGGTTCCATCAGCTTTTTAAATCCTACTGTCTATACGGAGCAAAAATACCTGTTTGATTTCATAAAGGTAATAGCTAATATAGCTTAAAAGTCATGATACTAACAGCTAGTACGTTAATCATCGTTTGACGCTATGTCCCCGAACCAAGCTTATTTAGGCCGCCTATTCAAAACTTGCAAGAAGTAACTGCGTGGACATTGCTTGACGTTAGAACAAATGACTTTTCGGTAGGAAGCCTTAGAAGGCTACACAGTTTACTGAACCTCTAAAGATCTGATACAGAGCTCTTTTGGAATTGGTACGCATCTAGTTTTTAAAAAATTAACCAATAGTAATATTACTATTTTAATCCATTTGGTTCCTATTAGTATAATGTTCTGAGGTTTGGGACCCTTATCTGAAGCAATCTGTCGCTCGACCCAATTTGAATCATCCTACTTAACCTCAAGATATATTCTTGTCAGCTATAATCAAATTCGACAAAATAAAACCTTTGAGTGAATATTAGTATAACATTTGATCAGTTGTACATTCTGAGATCCCGGAAGTATAATCTACTGCCTACCGAACTGTGAACAGAGTATGATTCAAGATACTTGTACTAGGTTTTCGAAATGGTGCTTAAGTATTAACTTGGGATGGTTTGGATATGTTTTCCACAGAAGAGAACTGAATAGTATCTAACTGAGTAGCCAAAGTATAGTGGCAATGAAACTGAAGATTGTAGGATATTAACAAAATTAGGCTAATCTGGACTACTTAACTCCTGCAAGGTATTTGAAAATAAGCAGAGAAGCCGAAGAGAAAGAGAATAGAGAGGAATAGCAGTCGTTTGTTTTCCTACACTCGACTATTACCATACTACAGCTCATTTTTCAACTGTTCTAGTATTTTATCTCCATTGAGAATAATTGCTTAGACCATGGCTGTGAAATGAAGACGCCAGGCCAATGACATGTAATACATCTCGAAATACACAATAATGCCATTGAAGTTTGCGCTAAGAGTGAGGACGTAGAGTGCCCGGTATATTACTTCGATATCAATTATTTACTACCAAGACAAATCTAAAAAAGGTTTTTAGTGAAGATTTACTGGTCTAACTCTTAAATTCAGGCTGAATTCAGAAAGAGACACTTTTCTGTATTTCTACCTGTGGTGCTTCCAACTACCCATTTCTAAGCAAGCTAACTTGCCGTAGTATTTTGAAGCACTGAACCCCACACAGTAAAATAGATAAGTGACAGAGTTGAAGGCATTCAAATGCATGTTCAAACCAAACACTCACTGCAGCTTTGATATTCACCACTACCACTTCTGGATTTCGAACTACTCCGTCGAACAAAACGATCAGTAGACATCACACGTAAAGCCCTCCAATGATGGCATCCACTAGAAGATGCAATATGAAACTGACAAACAAATCTGGTCGATAGCAGTTCAGAGTCTTAAAAGCGAGATTTTCGGTGAGAAAAACAGTCAATAACATTCAGTATTACAACGAAACTTTTACTTTGTATACATTTATTCTTGTGAATCAAAGATACTAACCAAACCTGGCGGCCTGATTAAATCACTCAGGTACTTAAATTTCCATACGGTATGTCGCATAAGCTCTCCCCTATTATTTCAATCATCAGACCGTGTTTCTTGATCCCCGCTTGAACTCATACACAGTTTTAGTTTTTTATAATGCAGAGCTCTTCTCAACAGATATGAAGAAAGAACCTATTTTAGATTTAGATTTTACTTCAGATGGAATAATGCATGAAAACACAATGTACTGCCGAATACCACTTCACTTGGAGATAATGTACGACGAACAGATATTCTGCAGTTTAAACGTGGCAAACATTCTTTCCTACACGCTACCATACTGTCTAGAATAAAGTTATCATTATTATTATTCGGATTTTCTATTTGACGGTAACTTGCATACGCACCAACTTCGGCAGCCGAGGGGACTTTTAAAAGCTCTTTTCAAAAGTTCCGTGATATTGTACAGTGAAGTTTTTTACAGATCAATCATAACCAAAGTTATTCTTCTTGATGTTAGTCTTTTCCATAAGTATTGGGACTACCTATTCATAGAAATTGCGGCATCCTGACAGTTTGACGTGTAACTTTTGCAGCTTTTATGAAACCCTGGTCTTTTACATTAATGAAATTCTGTTTTTCATTCTCTAGATCAAGAGTGCCACATTTCCTGTAGTAGTTTATTGACTTAGCGAGAATATGCCTACAAGACAGAACTGTTATGGGAGGCATTGTGATTTTGCCGCTAACCAGGACGGCATAGTGTTATAACAGTGATCTACAATTTCCCAATATATGCACTAATCTGATCTACTTAGCATGCAAACGTTGCTGCAAGACCATCGCGAATTGGCTATGCAAAGACTGTAGCGCAGTAGATGGTCAAAAAAAGTCCGTCAAATCAATCAAACGTGCAATGATTAATTTGTTTACCTATGCAAACAGAAACTCCCGGGGAAATATTGGATTTTCAGAGGTCTAGAGCTCGGTAGCTGCGTTGTGGTGCGGCTGTGTATCTTTACATTCCCTTCAGATCAAATACACGCTCCAAAAACCGTAAGTATTATTTTCTTCCTTCGCCAGGTGAGAACAGCGTAATCAATGGATGGAAAGAAACCACCACCCGAAACCAAAAGAGCCAAAACTTATTCTCAAAAAATAGAGTAACACAAATGTTCAGACCTGAAAGCCAGCTTTGAATACGATCTTACTCTCGTCAGACTCGTTTTAAAGAAACAGTCGCATGTATAAATATCCATAGTTCATTTAGGATCAGCCGAACGTCTGAAGTCTTTATAAGCCTGGATTATAAGCCAGTGTACATGATTAAAGTCACGTTAAATTCTAAAACTGAGAGGCATGCCGTCCCAGCCAGCGTTGTTACGCTCCCTCTCTCTACATCGCTATGAACTTATGCTTAGCAGACACCATCAAAAGATAATTTGCTGAATTGTTGCTAAATGGGAGGAGCCTCGTGGATCAGAAGGCCCTTGTTACTAGGGGTTTTCGTTTGATGGATCTTTGAATTTCGACGCCCCTTAAGCCGTTGAGAGTGGAACACAAAAGAACCAAGTTGAATCAATACACACTTTTGCCAGCATTCTGCTGGACAAATAAACTCAGCTGGGTATTATTAATCACTATGAGAACCTGGATGTCATCAGACATCCAAAATTAGCAACAGTGGTGTCAACCTTCAAAGCTCCATAGTGTATAGAGCCGAACGACCAAACAGGAGAGGAGGAGTAGTTATCCATTCTAAGAAGTCCCTGGGCATGAGTAACAGAAACTCTATCACACGGAGGTGGATTATGTAAACTTCTGTACTGAGGATCAAAATACTTGTGACGAGACAGCGAAATCATTCAAAGAACTCCTGTCCCGACGGAACCGCGTAGGATTTTCTCTTAGATAATCCAGGCCCGTGAGCATCCAAATGTTACAGCTTGTGATCTCAGCACCTCATAAGTTGCCCGAATAGATCATACAAAGTATTCTATAGACCTCCGCTCGTGACACTAGAAGACGGGCTGGGTAGCTGACACATCCTAATCCAATTCCTAAGTAAACACTCAGGAAATTCAGAAGGGCCTGATGACCTACAAGCAAGGCTTTCCAGGAAACCGATAGCTCCCACTGACTGGTAAATATATGGAACTGATTCTTATAAGAGTTGATGATTATTCCTTCAAATGATTCGTCCACGAAAAGGTTCGACAAGCACAGGCAGTCATTGGGAAAGAATGAACATATGTTTGGAGCCCTTTAAACTAATATTCTGAATCTGGAAGTATCCTGCAACTGGGTGGGGGAAGAACTTCTGAACGTAAAACTCTGTATCACGTCCACTCACAAACAACCGCAAATGCAGATCTAAGGTAGTCTAGGTAAGTCTGCAATAATCCAGGTGTTTTAATGGGCTTTTCCACTTCAAATCACTTGAACACGAGACCTCAGTGTTTGTCAGACAATATATCTAACAACATTCCTTCGTCCAAGCGAAATCGCATTGTAGGCATCAATCTTTTTGGAGATATGTGTCCGGGAGGAAGATTCTGAACGCAACTACGTGCTTTCATCAATATCTAAAAGCTGAAAATTAATACTTTAATGTTCGTTTACACGGGTAAGTTCGCGTCATATGCATGCCATTTTTATAGGCACCAGCAGTTGTGTTACAAAGTAGAGTCGTGAAATATAAATTGGCACTATATCAAAAGTTGACATTTTTGAGTTATTGTACAAGTTATCAGAACAGGTTCGCATAAATGTAAAATTCTACACCCTTTGCTGAGATCGCCATCAAGGTTGAGTTCCAACCCAATCCCCCTTTGTTTCCTGCAGACAGTTATGTCCAACCAACGAACAGCCTATATTTGCGAAAATGCTATGCCTCCACGTGATTAAAAGCTATTTCAGGAAGAAAATAATATGCCGAGAACATGTTGTCAAGGAACTTAGCCCTAAGTTCCTATTGTAATGAAGACTTAAGCGACTGAGCCGATAAATACTATGTACGTTCTTCAACTTTAAATCCAAAACACCAGTATTCCTTGAACGAAATTATATTGTTTGGCAATTAAAGTGAGACAAAATACAAAGTCTGCAAACAAATGTCAAGTACAAATGAAGTTATAAAGTACTTTTATTCGTATTTAACTCCAGTCTTCCTTCAACTTGCAAGCGATCGACCATTCGCACCTTTCAGTTGCCCATCAATGGCTGCCAGACCCAATAAAACAAACGTTCAATGTCCACGTCCATTGACAGGTGTAAATTGTAATAAATTGGATTATGGATGTTGCATTCAGAAGATATGTACAAGAAGGAACTATAGAGTCCTTCGAATGAAGTTATGCACTTGCACTGCATAACGCTAACTATATTAGTCTTACCACGAAAACTATGGCGTTTTTGTTGAAAAAATGGCTTTGCTTAGACATCAGTGTTGCTGTTGTTTGTTTTCATCAGAACAACCAGAATATAAGGTAGCTAAGAATGCGAAAAAAGTAAGTTTAAATGTAATTAAAGGCCTAGGTAGTTAAGATAAAATAGGGTATAATAGTGCGTAGATAAAAATATTTTCGTGAAGTACATAAGCGATATTTCATTGAGAAGGACTTCAAAGTTCTGAAAGGTTAGAAGTTGTGAGACAAGCTGACCTGTAAAATGTCTGACGAATTTCTGTAGGGCTGATGGGGTGGCATCTAGACAAAAAGGTCGGCAGGCTTGTAGAAGTAAGTGTGAAATCATTTTTTCAAAACATTTCGCAGAATTGAGTCAGATGATGTCGAAGAATACTTTGTATTCAATAAACCTGCTGGAAGTAAGCGTTTCAACAAATCCACACTTGATACGAAGAAATCCTCTCGAAACACAAGTATACTTAGTGGTTTTCAGTACACTCCGCCTCATAGAAACTTAGACCTCGAAAGCCTCAAAGCCGTGCAACCGAAGCAATTTCCCCACAACATTCTTCTAGTTATAAAAACAACACGAAGATGTGTACCGATATGATGAGTAGCAGACTGACGGGTGAACTTTATGATGCTTTGCCTTTAAATCCACAACCACTAATATTCTTATATGCAGGAACACACGTAATTTTTGTAGGTGTCCCGAGTCACCGGTAAGACCCATGGCACTTAGGAACACCTCATCGCACTCTAACCCCGATGTATGGACACCCAGTTCGACCCCCTTATCATTCATGAACTCCTCAGGTGCTGACGCACAAATAGAATTAAGTTATGGTGATATTTTAAGCCAGTTTGTAGTATCCCGTGACTTATTCACGATATTACTAATTAATGCACGTTCCTTAATCAATAAGATATCTGAACTAAGGGCATTATTATTTATCGCCAAGCCTACTGTAGCTTTGATTACTGAATCATGGTGCTCATATTCTGTACTTGATGTGCATATAGGCATAGATGATTACACTGTACACCGTGCAAATAGAGACAGCAAGCGTTTTGGAGGATGTCTCATATATATACATAACTCATTCGTAGCCAGTAAGGTGGAAGATGAAATACTGAACGATGTACCTGATTCACTCTGGGTCGTCTTACAAGGAGATAAGTACAAGCTTCTCATAGGCTGTGTTTATCGAGCACCAAGCTCAACCAAAGAAACTGATGCGTTATTAGCTAAATCATTCGCACATGCCTCATCGTTTAGTACTAATTACAAAATAATTGCAGGGGACTTCAATCTTCCAGAAGTCAATTGGTTAAGTAGTTCCGGCCCCCAACGCTTCGACGAATTACTTGCCACTATCGATTGTTATGGATGGCAGCAACACGTCCAGACACCTACTCGTGGTGACAACATGTTGGACCTTGTGTTTTGTCATGACACAATC